GACGAGTCAAAACAACCAATCACAGCCAGAGGAGCGTCTGATGGAGTGTCAATCACAGCTCACACACGCTGAATCCCGCTTCGTGAAACGGACCCCTTAGAAAAACAATAAAATATATTTATTTAAACTGTAGGTCAGTTTATGGTCCATAGAGGCCCAGACCATCACCTCACCACCACCGTGCCTGACTGTCAGGAGGTTGAACATGTTTTAGTAAAGAACAAAATTACTTTAACACAACTTTCCTCCCCAAAGACAAAAAACAGCAAAAATAAGACAATGAAATAATAAAAATGTAGTTCTGCAGTTTGACCAGCAGAGGGCAGCCGCCTCAGCTTTATGCAGCCATGTGAGACTTCATGCTTCAGTCTGTAGACATGTGTTGATGTTTGTCTGACGCGTTGGTCACGTGTTCAGGATGGAAAGGAAGGATGGAGGAGGAGGAAAATGTTAAAGTCTAAAGATGAAGACAGACTGTGATGTCATCACCAACTGGAAACGTTTCTCTGCTGGATTTCGACACTTTCTCTGGAAACCATTTAACACTTTGCTGCCTTTTCTCACCCAAACAGTCAGTGTGAGCGATCAGCTGATCGTCTGTCAGACATGGACGTGCAGAACCAGCCCAGAAGAGGAACATCTCTGACCCCCTGAAGACTCTGCTGCCTCCTGAAACCAGCAAATCCTCCTAGAAACAGACGATTGATCTTTGACCTCTGAGGGCTTCTTCGTTGCTCATGGTGAGGACACATCTACTGGAACTAGTTCTGGTTTTGAACCAGTTTAAAGGGACAGCAGAAAAACATCAACTATTGGAAGAAAATCTAGAAAATATTTATTTAAAACTGCAAAAAAAAGTTAGAAGTTGGAGGTTAAAGCATCTAGAAATCAGCAGACGTTTCCTGTTTACTATCAAACGCTTTTATTTTTTCTATCCAACAGTTTTCAATAAATACAAAATACAAACCTGCTTCAAATTTCCCGTAAAAAAATCCCAACTTTCAGAGCAAACAGGAAGAAGTGAAGCTGAGGCGAAATGATATAAACAGAAGGTGTTTTAATGTCGTGTCCCAGAGAAACGGAGGCATCCTGTCAGGAATACAGAGCAGAACCACTTTCTAACAATAAACGGAGGCAGGAGAGCAGGGAGACCGCAGGCCCACGCTTCAGGAACACTTTCCATGGCCGAGTCCAGCAGGAGCTGCAGCAGCTGGAGGAGCTGCAGCAGCAGGAGGAGCTGCAGCAGCAGGAGGAGCTGCAGCAGCAGGAGGAGGAGCTGCAGCAGCTGGAGGAGCTGCAGCAGCAGAAGGAGGAGCTGCAGCAGCAGAAGGAGCTGCAGCAGCTGGAGGAGGAGCTGCAGCAGCTGGAGGAGCTGCAGCAGCAGGAGGAGCTGCAGCAGCAGAAGGAGCTGCAGCAGCAGGAGGAGGAGCTGCAGCAGCTGGAGGAGCTGCAGCAGGAGGAGGAGCTGCAGCAGCAGAAGGAGGAGCTGCAGCAGCAGCAGGAGCTGCAGCAGCAGGAGGAGGAGCTGCAGCAGCAGCAGGAGCTGCAGCAGCAGGAGGAGCTGCAGCAGCAGAAGGAGGAGCTGCAGCAGCAGGAGGAGATGCAGCAGCAGGAGGAGCTGCAGCAGCAGGAGGAGCTGCAGCAGCAGGAGGAGCTGCTGCAGCAGCAGGAGGAGCTGCAGCAGCTGGAGGAGCTGCAGCAGCAGCAGGAGCTGCAGCAGCTGGAGGAGCTGCAGCAGCAGGAGGAGCTGCAGCAGCTCCGCTTGGCAGTGGCTGCGCTTCAACACGAAGCTCTGTCCATAAACTGCCTTCCTTTCCCTTCCAGTCAGAGGGCAGCTGCAGCTCCGCCCTCCTTAAAGTCCAGCAGACGGCGCAGGCGGCGTGACGTCAGGATGGGGCTCCCTTAAAGTCTTTGTGTCGGGGTCACTCCCTCCAGTCTCTGGAGGCTCCTCTCGCTACAATCGTGAAGCTGCTAACAGGGTGGGTGTCGGTCAGGAGAGATGGGGGGGCGGCGTGCAGCTCTGGGGACCATCTGCGGGGGGTCTCATCCTTACTGCTTCCAGCTTCGTCTTCTGCTCGCTGGTTTTGTCATCAGATCCGCTTCCTGTTTGTGATCTAAGGAGAAGAAGAACCAAGCTGAGCTCCAGAGAACAGAGACACCAACTTCAGCCACACCTGGAGGAAATCCCTCCCACCAATCAGTGTCTATCAGTCGTCCAATCAGAGCACAGCAGAAAAACATCCTGTTTAGTTTTACCTTCTGGGAAGGACTGATATTCACTGGAAAAACGTCCCAACAGGAACGTAGTTAATAACCGGATGGGGATATTTCAACTCTATTCAATTTATTTCTATGCTCTAATGCACATCAAGTCAGCTCAGGTCACTATAGATCCAGATCAGGCAGATTCTCTCTGAAGGACCCTCATGTCTCACCGGCGCATGCAGGGCAGCAGGAGCTCTCTGTTCGGGTGACGTTGGAGCAGCTCAGCACCGGACACTGTTTCCTTTGGCATTTGGTGACTCCATGCTGAGGGGACAGAATGAGACAGAAAGGTGAAGGTTTGCCGTTTCCAATCCGGTTTATTCCGGTTTCAACCTGCCGATCCGGGAGGCTTACGTCACACCAGCAGTTGATGCATTTCATCTCGCCCACCAGCGGCACCCAGGGATGCCAGCTGTCGCTGTTCTGGTAGAAGTTCTTTCCAAACTTGCAGTGGCGGGGGCCGTCGGCCTGCATCATGTCGCCGTGCTCCAGGCGGGGGGTGCGGTCCTCCTCAGGACACTCCTTGCAGCAGTCAGAGGGGCTGCGTCTCACCGGGTGGCTGCAGCTCAGCGCCGGACACGTCACCTTCTCACAGTGAACCTCCCCCGTGGAGCCCTGAGGTCAGAACGGCAGCAGGTTGGAGATTTTACCTCACGGAAGATCAGAGCCTCTGTGGCAGAAAACCACCGCATGTCGGCTGTTTCTGACTGTTTCTGCCTGGTTCTGACTGGTTCTGACTGGTTCTGACTGGTTCTAACTGGTTCTGACTGGTTCTGACTGTTTCTGCCTGTTTCTAACTGGTTCTGACTGGTTCTAACTGGTTCTGAGTGTTTCTGACCTTGCATGTGCAGACGGCGCACTTTATGTACCCGAAGGGAGGAACAAAGGGATGCCATGTGGTTCCTGGGGCGTGCATCTTCTGGTCGCCCTCAAAGTAGCAACCTGAGTGGTGGAAAAGTCGAGAGCAAAGGTTAGAAGAGGATCCATGTGACCGACTTCCCATAAAGACAAACAGCAGCTAGAAAAGACCTTCCAGATGTTCCTCCGCCGGCTCTGGAGTGACCGTGTCCTTGGCCTCCCTCCTTTCTGGAAAAACAGTCATGAAAAGTTGAGAGGCTCCCTGAGGACGGCGGTCAGAGACGCGTCTCTGACTCAGACTTACGGGTGAAGGACAGACAGACGAAGGGGACGGCTCACCATCACAGACGGGGCAGCAGCGACCCTCAGGCTGAGTGGTTCTGGAGCAGGTCAGCTCTGGACAGATCACTGGGTCACAGATCACCGTCCGCTTCTGCAAAGGAAACGGCTTTTAATGCACGGCTAAAACCTTTCATCATGGCTGCATCTGATGGCTGCCGCCATATGATGGCGGCCGCCATATAAAGGCTGCCGCCGTCTGATGGCAGCCGCCGTCTGAAGGCATTTCTCCCCACCTGACAGCTGCAGGTGAAACACTTGTCATAGGAGGGGGTCCAGCGGGAGCCATGGGCCTGGTGCTGGTTCTCAAAGAAGCAGGTGTTGGGGTCCTTCTTCAGCTCCTCGGGGTCGTTGAGGAGAAGGTCGTCGATCTCAGCCTCCTCTGCCTCCGTTGGAGCTCCCAGGTTACAGGAGTTAGGGACGTGGATCTGGGAAGGAGAGGAAGGGGATCAGGTGGAGGAATGAAATGATCGTCTGCAGAGGCTGAAGCTACGTTAGCGTGAGCCGCCGGCCGTACCTGTCCTCGTATTTCACCCTGAGGGTTCATCTTGGTGCTGACTTGGATGAAGGCCGTTCCCTGGTCCAGATGCTGCAGCAGCTCAGCACTCATGTCCTTCAGGACGCCCTGAGCCTGGAACACAGACAGACGGACAGACAGACAGGCGGATCTTAGGTTCCTCAGGTGGAACAGACGGACGGACAGACAGACAGACAGACTGGCAGACAGACAGACAGACAGGCGGATCTTAGGTTCCTCAGGTGGAACAGACGGACGGACAGACAGACAGACAGACAGACAGGCAGATCTTAGGTTCCTCAGGTGGAACAGAAGGACAGACAGACGGGTCTCCTCCTATCAGATACTATTCCCCTGCTGAAACGACAGGTTCTGAATTAGCAGGAATGGATCCTGTGAAGCAGACAGACAGACGGACCTGGGAGCCGTAGAAACCCGTCAGCAGCCTCTTGTGGTTGGCGCTGCTGTCGTCCAGCTCTCCGATCTCGGCCAGTCCGTGCAGGTGGGCGTTCACCGTCACGTCGTCCGTCTTACTGAGACCCGCCACGATGATCTCGTAGTGCAGGTGGCACAGTTTGTCCACCGACACCCAGGCGTGACCCGACGCTCCCGTTCTCACTGCTGGAGACACGAAGTGTCCCGCCAGAGGAGCGGGCAGCTCTGCAACAAGGAGGACGAGTCGGATAAACAGAGAGTCCCTCCCCCACCTCCTCACCCCCCTCCCTCCATCAGTCCTCACCCTGTCTGGGGACCTCCAGGCCGCCGTAGGGCAGGGCCTTGATCTGGCCCCTCAGCTCCCCCTCCTGGTGGTGAGCGGTGGCCACGTTGATGAAGAGCTCGTTCTGCAGCAGCATGTGGATATGCCGCGCCTCCAGGCGACTCCAGCTGCCCGCCGCCCTGCCTGCCGCCTTGCTGTACTCCGCCGTTAGATCGTACAGGACGGAGCGTTTGTTTCGCCGCCGCGGCTTCAGCTCGATAGTGAGGCCCACGACGTCGCTGGTCACACCTGCAACCTGAACCTGCAGAAGAACCCAGAGAAGCTCAGACGGCCGTCGGGTCTGGAGCTGCTGCTTCAGGAGGAAATCAGGTTCAGATCGACAACAGCTGCTGGATCAGAGAAGACATGTGGATCATGCTGAATGCACCCACATCATCATTACTCCACCACCATGCTTAGGAGCTGATCAGCTCCAGACTGATAAAATTACTGACAAATTAAAGGCTTATTGATAATAAAGTTATTTCTGATTCTTAGTTTGAAGCATTTCAGCTTCAGCAGCATCAGATCAGTGCAACTAGTATGATGATTAATATCATTTATAAAAGATTTGATTAAGAAACGTGGAGATAAAAACTCTGAGGACTAAAGTGACGAGTAGCTAAAAAGTTTGGATTTAATCTCAGAAACATTTATTGCTTTAGCAGCTAATTGAAGTGCAGCAATCAAACAACCGGATAATTTAAATCCAGTGATTGTTGAAACATCCTAGATTAATTTTCAGACACTTTAAAGGTCGATTCATTGATAATAAACTCATTCCTGATCTAAATATTTTGCTTAAATTGCAGTTTTATTTCTAAGCAAAACAACAACAATAAAGTTAACAATATAGTTTACTTTGCCTCAGATGCCTACTGTCGCTAATTAGCTTCATAGCTAAAAAAAAAACACAGAAAACAACAGAAAAAAAAGTTTTTTTCTACACATGTTAAAAAAATTCAAGCATGAAGGGACTAAAACGTCCTGATCTGTTCCAAATAAAGCTGATCAACTTTCTGAGCTGCAGGACTTTGAAGATCCTGGATTTTCTTCAGAGCCTCAGCCTTAAATGTCCTGCTTTATGCTACGTTCTGACCGATTGCTGCAGAAGCTGCTGGTTTCCATGCAAAGTCAATGGTTGATGCGCATCGATGCGCATCAAAGGTCCTGCATCGTCTACAGCAGCAGGAGCAGCGGCGCCTCACGAGCTTCTGAGCATCTGAGGAGCTTCAGAAGCAGCAGCTGCTGGAGGTGGAAACATTGAACTTTAGCTGCTGGACATCAACCAATGAGAGAAGCTGATCTGGGAGCTGGCAGGGAGTCAGACGCAGCACTGCTGATGCAGAGCGCTATGATCACTCCTCTGAAACAGTTTATTAACGCCTAAATTAACTTCAAATGTAGAAACCTGCCGGCAGAATATGTTGGCTTTTATTATCCTGCTGCCTGCAGTTTGTAGCACAGACCTGAAAAACGCTAACATCTACTTCCAGCCGCCACCAACAGGAGGGGAAAACCCTGGAGAGGCGAGCGGGCCTGAGGCAGCTGCTGCTGGGGATTCCCAGTGACAGCGCAGCGCCGGTATGTGGGGGTCTGAGCGGCTCCCACAGAGAAATAATCTTTGAAGGCAGGATGGTAATCTGGATGAACTGACTGCACAGACCATGTTTTCAGGAGGACTTTCTCACTTCAACATAGATTCTAACTACTTTCTACCCGCTGATCACAGCTAATATAGCAAAGCTGCTCTCTGGCATCGAACACAGGAGCAGCAGAAGCATCTGGAGAAACTTTACTGGACGGCTGACCTTAATGAGGATCAGAGATGAAGCAGCAGAAGCTTCTCTGATGCTTCCAGCACTGCGGTCTGAACGTAGCATAAGATCCCAGCAGCAGCGGCGGCAGCAGCGGCGGCAGCAGCGGTAACAGCAGCAGTGGCGGCAGCGGCGGCGGCGGCCCAAGCTGTAGCCTTTGCTTCTTGGCAATCAGCAACAAGAGGCTCAGTTTTTAGTGGAGATGCTCAGACCTTGAGCTGTCAATCAAAGGTCTCCATGTTTCAGTTCATGACAGTTTGCTTCATCTTTAATAAACTAAAACCAAACCTGTTTCACTGCAAATCATTTCACCTGAATGCTTACAGCAGCCATGGGCCTCAGTGAGTGCGTCTGCTTTACCATGGCAACCAGTTTGAAACAGTAGGTCTGAGGTCAGAAGCTCCATCATCCCCATAGAGAACAGAGCCATACCTGGTAGTCCAGCGTGCCGTTATCATGGAGGTTAAAGATGGCCGACCCCACGCCTCCTGTCTTCCCTGGGATCAGTGCATCTCCACTGGACATCACGCTCTGGATGGCTGAAGCAGACAGTCAGAAACACACAGATCCTGCAGTTAGTCTGAGCTGAGGGGGGATGGAGGTAATGAGGAACAGCAGCGCAGGAAGGACTGAAGCCAAGCTGCAGTTAGACGACAGCAGAGCCAGAGAAGAACGCTGGAGCTGGATTCCTGATGGATGACATCAACCGCTGCTAATCCAAAGGTTGGGAAGCAGCTCCAACGCGCTGACCTTGGCTGCTTTCTGAACACGCAGTTCTGCTCAATAAAAACCCAAATCAGCGGTTTGACAGAACCGGACTCACTAATGGACGTGATCGTGAGTCCCGTGGAAGCGGCCATGTGTTCCTGTTTTATTATCTGCAGACGTTCAGGCCGCCGCTGCATTCCTGAAACGGATTCAGACGCACACATGTGGCGGCCCTCAGGAACCGGCTCCAACCAAAGCTCCATAAACATCAACTCCAGAGACGGGAGGA